TTTTAATTAGTGTTTTCATTAGGAAGTGTCATTTTTAAGTTCTTCTTTTAAAGAAAATGACATGTTATCCACTTTCATCTGTTTCATTGCTTGGCAAACCAGTAGTGATGTAGAAATTAGATTTTCTAGATTGCTGTTTCTTTGAGAAATTTATCCTCAGGTTATTAATGAGATAAAAACCTACACTTAATATGTAGCTAAGCATGGATTATCTGCCAAGTACTGTTCTGAACCCTTTCTATGCACTGACTGATACGATATCTTGATCACTGGATTCCTGGAAAGACAAAACAATACAGTCATTTATTTGGGTATAATCTACTGAACACCCTCTTTATATCGCCACAGAACTTGGAGTTGGAAATACTAATGTTTTAGAGTGGAGCAAAAAAAAAATATACTTAAGAATTTGGAAATTCATGAAAGTGTTATTTTTTAAAAATGTATATGTAATTCTACTTTATAAGATATCTGTCAAAGCCAGATAAGATACTTTAAGAAATGATGATGATGACGACAGGCCAGAAACAATTGGAAATAAAGTTCGGCCTCTTGGTAGACCAGAGCAGGTATGGGAGGGCCAAGCAGCAGTGTGCAGGGACTCCCTGAGGACTCACTGAGGTGTGAATGTGGAGCTAGGCAGAGGCAGTGCTGAGTAAACCAGTGAGTAATAGGAGGAGAATAATAATGTCTCAAAGCAATTTTTCATCATACAACAAACTGTCCTTTCTGTCTCTTTCCTTTTCCAAGGACCTCCTAAGATGGTGATGTTCAAAAGGCTGGCACTTGGTTCTAGGTTGGGTACCAAGGATAACAGGTGGAGGGATGTATACCAATTAGACACTCACGCTATTGGTGAAAAGTCTCAATGTGCTGGTATACAACACAGGGTTATTTATTTATTTATTCATTTATTTTTTTCTAATCAACAAATTATGTCAAGTTGCTGCCCATGTTCCCATCATTACACATCATTTGCTTATTCTAAAGTCACTTTGCTATCTTAGTCCAGCTCAGTTTAAAACTCGTATATATACATGGATACAAATAAATCTTTATTTGGCCTTATGTATTGCCTCAACATCTGGCTCCTCCTTTCTGCCATTACAAACTAGAACTGTAGTTCCAATAGCATCAAGCACCCAGCAAGACAATAGAGATGTTGGTTGCCATCTGTGTTTCAGACATCCTTTTTTTCTCCCATATTTTTTCTTAACATCTCTGGCTTTTGTGTTGGGAGAGGAAGGCAGAAGTAGCAAAGTGCCAGGGACCAGCCTCAGCAGTTTCGAGGGTCTCGAAGGGCAGGGGTGTCAGGCAGGTGCAAGAACAGGCTGGGACACAGGAGTTGGTGCAAGCTGACGAGTCTTGTCAGATCTGGAGGTGTGTGTTTTCTCCGCCTTCTTCTCTCAATCTGACTCAACCCCAGGCTTTTATTGTAACAGTACAAGGAAATAGTGAATGAGAAAATTCAACGGGTGATTGGTCTCTTTACAATAGTTTCAAAAGTTCTTTTTGTAAATCAGCAAAGTGTACCCTGTGTCCCTTGATTGCACACAGAAGTTCCCAGGCAGAAAGCAAAACATACAAGCTTATTCTTTCACAGGTTAATGATTATCAGAACACCTGAGGTAATCACCCCAGAGGCCATCTACTTGCTGTTTCTCAGAAAGCACAGGAATACAAGCAATGGTTTAAAGTACTAGACTGCCAGCTTCCTCTCAGCCAAAGTCTTTCTTGATCTCTCTGTAATTTGTCAAGTTGTCTTCTAACTAGTTCTGGACAACTCTTGTCTTCTATCCTATCTGTATGTCACTCTGTCTGCAGTTTTCTGCCACCAGCCTTCTGGGTTCTCCCATGACCTGCACAACAGCTCTAACTCCTGCCACTGTCACAATCTCAATATCATTTCTAATGTCATGGAAACCACTGCAGGAGAGAGAAAGAAAATCATAAAGAGCAAATGGAGTAGGAGGATCACAAGAACCAGTGACAGTTGGATGTGTGAGAACATGACATGCATATGCCATAAACTCTGTCCTTGGGACACAAGGGTTCTTTTCTCCCTGGCCCACACAAGGCAGGCTTAGTAGACTATCCCACGGGGCAGGAGGGATTGATGTCCTTGTTCTCGGGTACCTCCAGCACAGATTCCACTGGCAACACGTCAGGCTTTTCATATGCTGTCTCCAGCAACAAAGGATGCTGGGATTCTACCAGGGATGCAGGAGGTACCTTAGATTATCTTGTTTGCTTTGGTCTGAAGTTGGTGACTTGTATTTTAGATGGTAAGAGGTGACCTTGGACAAGTGTGTGATTTAGTTAGAAATTAATACTGCCAGGCTCTTGTACACATGGCGGGGGGACCTTTCTTTTACTAATTTAAGTCTAACTGGACAGCTGATACAGTTTCTAGAAGTTGGTTCTGTCTCATTTCTGCTTCAGCTTGAAGTATTATGGAGGGAGTTGCCCTCAGCCAGTCTCTGAGAAGGATTAGTGCGGCTGCCTAATTATTATTATTTTTTGTTTGTTTTTGGTTTTTCGAGACAGAGTTTCTCTGTGTAGTTTTGGTGCCTGTCCTGGATCTTGCTCTGTAGACCAGGCTGGCCTTGAACTCACAGAGACCTGCCTGGCTCTGCTTCCTGGGTGCTGGGATTAAAGGCATGCAGCACTACCGCCCGGCTTTTTACATGTTTTTGTTTGTTTGTGTTTTGGTTTTGTTTTGTCCCTAATTATTTTTGAGGGCAGTTTATCTACACTGTTGGGTCGTTTGATGCTGGGCCCTTTACTGGCTAGTCCTCCGTCTGTGTATCAGCTCATCACTTCCTGGTCAGTGCTCTATGACAATGACATAGACCCGATACTGTGTTTTGTGGAATGCTTCCTAAACAATCCATTATGTGTATAGGGACATAATAAGTAATTTTTGAATGAGTGGGTTGGTGGCTAGATGGATGAAGAGGTTGTACATTGTAATTCAATGTGGGACTCTGTGTAATATATTACACTGTTGATAACTAAATAAAAGACCTTTGTGCTCATTCCATTTGAGCTACTTGGCTCATAAAAATCCATAAGACCAAATAAAATGTATTTGTATTTATGTATATATTTGTGTCTCTATTTATATACACGGATACACACACACACACACACACACACACACACACAC